ATTGTGGAAAGAGCAGCCCAACTGGCAATCAGAGTCACCAATCCCAATGCCAGGCTGCGCAGTGAAGAAAATGAATAGACAGCTTGTTGTGCATGTCATATTTGTGTTAATAAAACCATAAAACTACAAAAAAAGTTTCCATTTTTAGTATTGCCATATTGAAGCAAATGATGGATAATTTAGTATTTCAAAAGGTTATATCTTTTGCAATTTTAATTATTTTCATGCAAATTTAGTACTTAAGGTTACACAGATCTATCATTATATTGAGTAAAATAGTGTAGAACTGTTAATTTATGAGTCACTCTCCCTTTTCCCATCTCTGTTTTGGCAGTTATCATATTGCATTGTAATTCCACATCTGTCTTCCCCAGTAGACTTGAGACTACCTTAAGGTCAAGGACCTAATTTTATTCACCTCTATATCCCCAGGATCTAACACAGTGTTTGACATCTGTTAAGAACACAAAAATAGTTTCTATGTAAATAAAGTTTTAAAAAGATAGATTTGTTTGAAAAGCTCATTTCCTATGTTAAGGCTTCAATTAGTTACTTATTTTTGCCTTGTAGTCTTGAATATTGCATTAAATATATTTTGCTTTATTCCCTTGTATAGTCTTTTATAGTAGTCTCTTAGGAGAACTAATACAATTTTCAGTAGAAACTGATATGCTGGTGAAATTGATTTCTGATGAAGATTAACACTCCTTTATACACAGAGAAAGTTTGAGCCAGTAGCATGTAACACAGTCATGAAATATGAATTTGAATAACCTGTAAAAATAAGATAAATTCTGAATGAGAATAGAAGAGAAATAAAGAGAATCTTTCATACTGGAACAGATTCATCTAGCGATGACTATCTGTTTTTTTTTTTTTTTCTTAAACATCTGAGGTATTCAATTAGCTTGGACTGTCCCACTGGTCTGAGTTTTTCTGATATGCTTTAGGCCCCCAAACCTTCTTTTTGACTCTTTGACACCAAAAGAGAAAGTAAACAGTGTTTATATTTATTTCTGCATAACACTGACTGGTTTATTTTAAGTCTTAGGAAATTTCCAAAAAAAAAGTTATCATCATCAATGAGAAGAACAGGTCACATTTCCAAATTTATCTTCAATTGAAATTAGATGTAAAAAAAAAGAAATTAGATGTTAAATCTCAAATCTTTTCATCCACATTTATTCATGGCTTTTTCAAAGCTTCTAGGATTCTGTTAAAATCTGTAAAGCATCTCTTTAGGTTCTATTAAAAAAAAAAAAACAAACAGTATCCAAAGAAAGGTCTACCTAACATCAATACATTTCAAGTAGGGCACATGTTGCTATGATGTTTCAATAATTTGGTATTAAAGTGCAATATGAATTAATATACTGTAATACAGTGTTATTTTTTCTTAGAAAAATTAAAAATATATTCATGCCAAAAAAAGACCTAGTGCTGGTATAGTAAAAGTTTATTCATCAAATTCAAACTAAATTTACCTTCACAATAAGAAAATAAATGGAAGATAATAGGACCAAATAGGATTTTTTGTGTGTTTTATAAATTCCTTTGACTTTATATTTCATATATTACTACAGGCAGCTTTAACGGAACAGGCTTGCTTTGTGAGAGCAAGAGTTTTCATATTCCTTTGTTAAGAATGTGTTTATCATCTCAAAATATATGGTTATTTGGTTAAGATTAATCTTCTTTCAGCATTACACTGTGAACACAATTTAACAACAACCAAACTGTCATCACTATGTCAGCAAAAAGTATGTAAATTTCTATAACATTGTGGATGACTAATGGATTACGCTATAGAAAAGAGGAAGTCAAGATGTTTATTTTCCTCTAGAGACAACAAAATATCTGCACTGACGCCAACCATGCACAAAAAATATTCATTTCTACTGAAAAATTTCATTTACTGGATTGCCTTTACAAATATGCAGAACTGAGAACTTAGTGTAACCCTCAACAATCACATAAATAATTATTCCGACCATGTTTTCTAAAACTATCCTGGAGCTAGTATTCAAGTATTTGCCACAATATTTCTCATTTTGCATAAAATGCCTGCATGGGATTCTTGTCCATGGGAAAATGGAATTTACAATGCTTTAGAGAAAATGGTTGTTTTAGGTATCTGTTGTCATTTAACAAACTACCTAACTTAGTATCTAATGACAATTTTATTTTCCTCACAACTTTTTGGGTTAGAAATATGAGAATACTTTACCTTATTGGTTTGTCCCTGAACTACATGGCATAAGCCAGGTCAGCTGGGGATATAGATTCCACTTCCAACATGGCTTATTCACTTACCAGCCTTGGTGCTCATTGACCTCTTTTTCTTCAAATGGTGCCCCATCCTCTAGCGCTTCTCCATGTGGCTTGAGCTTCTCATAACATGGTAGTTTCAGAGAAGACCAAGAGACTTGAAGAGAAGCTGCAAGGTTTCCTTTGACCCAGCCTCCACAATCCCAGAATATCACTTCTACCATACTGTATTGATCAATCACGTCCTTAAGGCCATCTTGGATTCAAGGAGAGGGGAATGATAAACTATGTTTAAATGGTAAGAGTAGCAAAAAGTCTGTGGCCAACTTTAATCTAATAGAATGTTGTCTCGAATTTTAGGTACTGAGATTTGGGAAACTTTAACTTGGTAATGTGCTTAGCCATTTGAATTGGATTATTCTATTCTTTGGTAGTTTTACTTTTTGTTCTAATTTCAGGATGTCTAAAGCTGAATTTGCTTGATGAACTTTAAAAAAAATGAAGGAAAATAATTTCCATAAATTTTTATGATCTTACTGAACTCTGAAAGTTTTCCAGATATAGGCAGGGACATCCAATCACCCCAATTATTTTTCTCTCTTTTTTGCACTTGCAGTTTCTAAACATTCTGACTGCAGAACTCCCACTGACACTTAGGAGCTCTCTGACATTTACAGTGCTCCTAACATCACCTTACTATTGAGGCATAAGACTAAGTTACAAAATGACTCCCAGGTGTGAATAAATTATGCTAAATAAATATGTAGAAAAGTTAAAATCACCTAAAATTAACCAGTTATGTACTTTTTCAAATGCCAAAGATCTGGTTTAACTGATTTTGTTTTCCTTTCTCTGAATTACATGGTTGCTGTAGCATTTTAGAGAAATAGCCTTTCTGGGATGAAAAATGGGCAGGTCTTCATCTTTCTGTCAATAAAGTTGTCTCCAAACTGTGTCACAAACTAAAAACTGAAAAGTTCGGCCTTGTACCTAATGTAAATTGGAAGCAAATTACTTTAGTAATTTTACAGGATGGTGTTGGTGGTGGGCTATTTTGGCATATCTACCTATGTTGAAATACATATTTATACCAAGCACATATCTTAGGGATGTCCTAAATAGCACATACAAATTCTGTACCCAGTGCATCTGAGTGAAATGTACTCCCTACAATGGTCTCTCTCCTTGCTTTAGAAAAGTAGTCCTCTAACATTTTTGTTAAAGCTTGACTAATAGCAGAGGTGAATGAAGAAGTATACCATTTATGGGCCACAAACACAAAATTTGAGATAGTTGTGTAAATTTTGCTTTCTACTCCTTAAAATATGTTTTCACATAAAAATAATTTATCCACTTGAATCTTCATGAAAACTAATGATGTAAGATCATCTTATGGTTCATGTAACCCCTGGCAAACCACGGAGTACAACTCGAGGTATTTTCTTCCCAGTATTGATGGAAAGATGTAAGCAAAAATTACTGAGGATATGTGTCAGCACATCTAGATTTGGCTATAACAAAACGTAATGACTCTGCAAAAGAATAGAAGTGGTAGGGGGAGAAACATAGCCTAATACTTCAACATTAGCTACAAACTATTCACTATTTCCACAATCCATTAACAACATGTTTCTTTTCTTTTGTTTGTTTATTTTAAAATACTTAACTTTGGTACTTATACTGGTAGGCTACGTTAACTACAATGTACTATATTTCCTTTTAGAAAAATGAACAAGTTTTTAGGAATGTAATTTTCTCTCATCTATTCTCAAGATAGAAATAATCCTTTAATAGTCCAAATTGTATTGGAAAGATCAAAAGTTGAGTAAAACACCTTCCAAAGAGGGTGAAATATTGGGGCCAATTCATCTTCCTTGGCTATATAATTGGTAGGTACCACTATGGTCACAGGTTTCAATAAATCATATACCCAAAATAAACCTAGTGCATTTCCAGAATATTTGCTCATTTCTCTTATTTAGAATTGAAGAAATTCTGAGAATTGAAGAATAGAATGAAACCCAAGGTGGATAAAAGCTCACAAATATTAAAGTACATGGTTTAGAGTAAAGGCCATGGTGTGAAAGAGATACTAACAGACTTCTGAATCTCAAGCTCACAGTTCTTGAAATACAAGGATTACTGGTAGGGACTTAAAAAGGAAGGCTCAACACCTTGTGTCATTATTTGAGTCTGTAAAAAAACATTAGCACCAATAAGTCATCTTGTTACTTTTACCAACACTCTATGATTCATAAATATTCAGGATCTCCACCTAAAAACAAGTTTTAAATAGCCCTGGATTGTGCCATTGGAAATATTATTAAATCATTTTAAGGATTGTACTGAGGGGCTCTTTTATTTTAAAAAGTGCTGTTCTCCAGAAGTTAATGTTATCTAAATGAAAATTTTGGGCTGGCAAGCATGAAAAGTCTTTTATACCAATCACCAATGCATGACATCTATGAATCTATCAATCACAGAGTTAAAAAGCTCTGTCCTATAGCACACTTAACACCTAGTGTAACCAATTAGTATTACAATTCCTTGATGCAATACAAACTCATTTCCTTAAATTGCTATTGCACTGAACTCCAGGGTTATAAATGAGCAGGCACAAATTGATTTGCATGTAATAACAGTGGCAATAAACCTTTCCTGGTTCATGCAATCTTCCCCATCTGTTAACAGAGGGCAAGCTTAGGATCTATTATTCCCAGAAGGGGACTTACCCAGCTGGACATCTATAACACTTGGCTGATTCTCCATGGGGAACAATGGCTTGGGAGGCTTGTCTGTGAGTAAAGCTAGAAGAGAAAATGAAAAAAGGTAATGGAAAAATTGAGATAAATTGGAGGATAAGAAAGATTCTATTGTGAATGATATTTGATATTTGTAGACTTGATGGTGTGTAAACATTTATTAGACAGTGTTCTTACTTGAGTTGTTACTCTATCCATATAATATCCATTTCCCAGCACATTTAGAGCCCCATTGATTCACTGTAAATAGGCCATTTCAACAGCTACACTTTCAAACAAGATCAAACAAATGAACTATTTTGAGTGATTTTTATAAGCTTGTAAGTATAAAGAAATATAGATTTCAAAAGTATAATCAGATAAACATTATATCTCCATATGTACTTTGGTGCTAAATATTCTTAATAAAATACAACCCTAATAGACATTTCTGGTGGATTGAACCTTCTACGCCTCTGAATCATGCCCCATTCCCCACTCAGCCTCTGAAACAATATAATAAAACACTGGTACCTTCATTAGGATAATGATTAAAAATATTGATTGAGCATCTTTTGTCCACCAAGTCCTGTGCTACGTTTTAAGGGAGAAGGAAATAAAGTCTTTATATTTCCCCTCAATTTACAATCTATGACTATGAACCAAAATTATCATATCCAAATAAAGAGATAATAGAACAAAGACCATCATCTAGTGAAAAATTGTAGCATTTGAGCCATGAGACAATATATGGTAAAGGAATGAAGAAAGGAGAGGCCAATATTGGCTGGCAGAGTTGGGGAAAGTTTTATGAAGGAAATGGGTCTCCACATAGACCTTAAAGAATGGAAAACATTTGGAAAGGTAGAGAGCAAGGAAGAAGAAATGAAGGAAAGATTAACAACACAAACCAAGGAAGAGAGGTAGAACTTAGAGCATAATATGACTAGAGGAAAATGATCTGGTGAGAAGAAGCTGGGTGGGGTAGGGTAAAAAGCAAGTTGCTCATGATGCAGAGTAATTAGAAATGAAAATAGATAGGATGGAACTCAATTCTGGAGGATCCTGAGAAATATGCAGAGGAATTTGGACATGATGTAGTAGCCTACAAGACCATTGTAGATTCTTGGAAAAATAGCAACAAATGACTCAAGAGAAGGGCTAACTAAAGATGATTGGCTTCCCATATAGGATGGGTTGGAGGAGAAAAAAACAGCTAAGAGAATGTAGTAATAACACAGTAGTGCAGGGCGGAGGTGAGAGAGGATGAAAAGTCATTAGTGGTGGAGTCTGGGAAAATTTTTAAAAAGGCAAATTTGACACATGAAAAAATGTTCATCATCATTAGCCATCAAGGAAATTCAAATCAAAACCACATTGAGATACCACCTTACACCAGTTAGAATGGCAAAAATGGACAGGGAAAGAAACAACAAATGTTGGAGAGGTTGTGGAGAAAGGGGAACCCTCTTACACTGTTGGTGGGAATGCAAGTTGGTACAGCCACTTTGAAAAACAGTGTGGAGGTGCCTCAGAAAATTAAAAATAGAGCTACCCTATGACCCAGCAATTGCACTCTTGGGTATTTACCCCAAAGACACAGATGTAGTGAAAAGAAGGGCCATATGCACCCCAATGTTCATAGCAGCAATGTCCACAATAGCCAAACTGTGAAAAGAGCCGAGATGCCCTTCAACAGATGAATGGATAAAAAAGATATGGTCCACATATACAATGGAATATTACTCAGCCATCAGAAAAGATGAATACCCAACTTTTACATGAACATGGATGTGACTGGAGGAGATTATGCTAAGTGAAATAAGTCAGGCAGAGAAAGTCAATTATCATATGGTTTCACTTATTTGTGGAACATAAGGAATAGCGTGGAGGACATTAGGAGAAGGAAGGGAAAAATGAAGGGGGGAAATCGGAGGGAGAGATGAACCATGAGAGACTATGGACTCTGAGAAACAAATTGAGGGTTTTAGACGGGAGGAAGGGTGGGGGGATGGGTTAGCCTGGTGATGGGTATTAAGGAGGGCACGTACTGCATAGAGCACTGGGTGTTATACGAAAACAATGGATCGTGGATCACCACATCAAAAACTAATGATGTATTGTATGATGATTAACATAACATAAAAAAAAAAAAAGGCAAATTTGAGAAGCACCTGGAAGAAAGAAATGAGAGCACTTGGCACACAGATACAAAATGGCTTATGGCAAACCTTGTATCAAGCTATTATTTATGTCCTGAATTCCTTTTAACTGTTCCCATATTTATGTCTTGCTTCAGCTGTCCAACTAGACTCTTACTGATTAAAGGGATATGTTTTATATGTCTTTGTAATTCACAGGAGACATAGAATAGAGCTGGGCATATAAGAGATCACCAATAAAGCATCATTAATTGACTGGCATAGGAATTCCATGCTTACATGAGAAAAGTTCATCTCATATTTATAAGGCTATTTAGAAGAGAAAAAGAAACAAAAATTTATCAGATGACAGGTAAGATTAGGGAAATATATAAATTTGGTGAAATGCCCAAAATAGTTGTTGAGAACAAACAAATGCACTTAGAAATTCACTTAGAAAAGAGCTTTACATGACATCATCTTTATCTTTCTGATATCCAAACTACTTGAAATGGGAAATTTTTAGTGAATTGTTCTTATTTGTCCAACTAATTTTTGTTGATGGAATACAAGACATCTTGTATTCAATCAAATATATTTTTTTTAACTTGGCACAAAAATAGACACATAGATCAATAGAACAGGATAGAAAACCCAGAAATAAACCCAAATCATCAATTAATTTTCAATAAACCAGGAAAGAATATCCAATGAGAAAAACACCACACATGGTGTTGAGGAAACTGGACAGCAACATGCAAAAGAATGAAAACTGGACCACTTTTTTACCCTGTACACAAAATAAATTCAAAATGGATGAAAGTCCTAAATGTGAGACAGGGATCCATCAAAATCCTAGAGGAGACTACAGGTAGTAACTTTTGTGATATCGGCCATAGTAACTTCTTACCAGATATGTTTCCTGAGGCAAGGGAAACAAAAACAAAAATAAATTATTGAGATTTCATCAAAATAAAAAGCTTCTGCCTAGCAAAGGAAACAATCAAGAAAACTAAAAGGCAACCTCCAGAATGGGAGAAGATATTTGCAAATGACATATTTGATAAAGGGTTAGTATCCAAAATATATAAAGAACTTAAAAAATTCAACACCCAAAAAACAAATAATCCAATTAAAAATGGGCAGAAGATGGGTGCCTGGGTGGCTCAGTTGGTTAAGCGACTGCCTTCGGCTCGGGTCGTGATCCCGGAGTCCTGGGATCGAGTCCCACATCGGGCTCCTGGCTCAGCGGGGAGCCTGCTTCTCCCTCTGACCTTCTCCCCTCTCATGCTGTTTCTCTCTCTCTCTCAAATAAATAAAATCTTAAAAAAAAAAATGGGCAGAAGACATGAATAGACAGTTTCCCAAAGCAGACATCCAGATGGCCAACAGACACATGAAAAGGTGCTCAACATCACTCATCATCAGGGAAATACAAATCAAAACTATAATGAGATACCACCTCACAACTGTCAGAACGGCTAAAATCAACAATAGAAAAACAACAGGTGCTGGCGAGCATGTGGAGAAAGGCGAACCCTCTTGCACTGTTGGTGGGAATACAAGCTAGTGCAGCCACTCTGGAAAACAGTATGGAGGTTCCTCAAAAATTTAAAAATAGAACAACCTGGGGCACCTGGCTGGCTCATTCAGAGGAGCATGTGACTTTTGGTCTTGGGGTCATGAGTTTGAGTCCCACGTTGGGTGTAGAAATTACTTAAAAAAATAAATAAAATGCAAAAGAACTACCCTATGATCCAGCAGTTGCACTACTAGGTGTTTACCCAAAGCATACAAAAATACTAATTCTAAAGGGATACATATATCCCAATGTTTACCCCAGCATTAGCTACATTAGCCAAACCATGGAAACAGCTTGAGTGTCCATCAAATGATGAATGGATACACACACACACACACACAGTGAAATATTACTCAACCATATAAAAGACTGAAATCTTGCCATTTGCAACGACATGGATGGAGCGGGACAGTATTATGCTAAGCAAAATAAGTCAGTCGGAGAAAGACAAATACCATATGATTTCACTCATGTGGAATTTAAGGAACAAAACAAAGGAACAAAGAGGGAAAAAAGAGAGAGGGGGACAAATTAAGAAACAGACTCTTAACTATAGAGAACAAACTGATGGCTACCAGAAGGGAGGTCAATGTGCAGATGGGTGAAATAGATGATGGGGATTAAGGAATGCACTTGTTTTTATGAGCTGATTTGGGCATAATGTGGACAAACATACAAATACAATATAGTCTTCATTTCCTAAATATTTCAGTTACCCTTAATAATCTGATATTAAAATATTATTTGAAACATAAAGGGTATACTTTAAACAAAATTTAAATATTTGAATTTAAAATCCAGTCATAACAGGTGTTTGATTTTGTTATTTGCTACTATTTGTAATAGCAAAATATTGGAAAGAAACAAAATGTCCATCCGTAGGACAGTAGTTAAATAATATGGTGCTTCCATATAATGATATATTATGATGCAGACATTTAAAATAATTAGGTACATCTGTACATCTGTTATACAAAGATCTCCAAGATATACTGTTCAACAGTGTGCACAGCATACTATCTTTTGTGTAAAAAGAAAACTATATGTGTGTGTATGTACCCATGTGTATGCACATACAAAAATGTTTAAGTATGGAGTATTCCTGAATGGATACATGTAAAACTGATAACAGTGATATCCTCTGAAGAAAGGAACTGGGTGGCTGAAGAATGGTAGAGGGGGTAAGGACAGTATGGTCAGGCAGAAGAAAATTTAATTTTCACTATACACTTTTTCCACATTTTGAACAGCATGCCTATATTGTGTATTCAAAACATGAATAAAATTAAAATTAAATAAAATCCACCTACATTTTATTTATTAAAAGTAATTTTGATTTCTTTGTAGAATTATTCTCAATTTGCCTTACACATCTCTTCCTGCCACTTCCCCTGCTTGTACTTTCTCTCTCCCTATCAAATAAATAAATAAAATCTTAAAAAATATATTTCATGCTCAAAGATGAACATCTTGTCCAATTCTTATCGGGATATGAATTTGGAGTCATCGCTGTCCCTCATCCTTACCTCCTGCCATGGACTATAGATATATTTACCCTGATGCCATTGTTAAGTGTCAATTACTGACATGACATTTATTAATAGAAATGATAATTTTAGGTGCCTTACATTTATAGGCGGCTCATAATTTTCAAAGTGTTTTCAGATACATTAGCTCATGTGATCTACACAATGACCTTGGAAAGTAAGGAAGATAGCTACAATAATGGCCAATTTAGAGATGAAGCTAAATGAAGCTTACATTGTCTCATTTGGTGCCCCCTTGTGACAAAAAGCCCCCATTTACAGAACTGCAAGGAAGACAAAAGTTGTAGGCAGAAGACAGGTACAAATGCTCAATACTGAATCAATGGTTTTAGCCTCTTTGACTCCACACTAACCTAAGGTTCCTAGGCCAATGGGAGTGGCTTTGTGGCAAACAGCCAACAGAGACATGATTCCTGTAGGACATTCCACACACATACATTTTTTTCCCCTAAACCCATGAATGAAAGGGGGTGAATTTACACTTACCCTAACACATCCCAGTGGGATATATGGGTGTGGAGCCTCATTAAATTCCAATATCATGTCTAGGCCTGGGAATTGCCAAGAAGTGCAGGACATTTGTGATGATAAAACAGCAACTGCAGCAGTTCATCTGGATCCTGACCATCAGCCCAGAGACAAATCTATCAGCACCCAATGTAATTATAGCATTTGCAGATTAGCTAGAGAACATGCTGCCACGGGCCGACAAGTTCATTTCTTTCTTCTCTTTAAAAATCTCATCAGAAATTCAGTTACTATTTGAGAAATGAAAGGGGAGAACTGTCAATACCAGGGCCTCTGAACAACAGAGTGAAGATTTACAATTTTATTAGAAAACTGATCCTGGACCTCTACAGGGACCAATTTGGGGTCTGTGCTAGTCTTTGAATTTCCTGTTCAAGCTTCATGTTTTGATTGAAAGAAGGACAGCAAGCAATGCAGTTTGGTACTAATGTTTCAGTCCATAATTCCTCCCCTGCATTTCCCTCTGTAGCAGCTTATGTTTAATTATCCTTAAATATAATTGCTCTACTAAGTATACCACAAGAGTAGTCTTAATGTGCTAGAGAAACTATTACTGTTTCTGCCTGCTTCTTCCTAAAGCTAAGTTTTATGTGTTTGACACTAACTTTCCTGAGGAGAATTAGCTCTCTCTTTTCTATTATAGGTAAAGTTTCTGTCTACCTGAACAAATCAATTGGTTTGACTAAAATGATTGGTCAATTTCCATGAATATAGTATAAAAGATCAGTAGAATTAGTTGTTTGATTGAATAAATCAGTTTGACTATGCTGCCTAAGTATTACATACTGTTATTATAAGTTTCATTGTCCTCTTTTGTTGTTAATTTGTCTGTTTAATTAGACTTGCCAGGGAACCAAGTGGGAGGAAGTAGGACAGCTATATGCAAAGGACACTAAATGTATGAACACACTAGTATCATAAAGTAACTCATTAGTTTCTATGAATGAAGTCATTATGGAATGTGTATGTTAAGGTTAATGAAATGGATCCCTCCAAATCCATTCAACACACCAACACTGATCACTTTCCAAAATCACTACTTTTATCACAACATTTAACCACTGAAAATCTACCAATGTTTCCTATATTTACAAGAGGATAAAATCTGAAACTGTCAGCTGGGAGTATAAAGAAAGCCACAATACAGCCTTTAAAAAAACCTTCTTGCCTTTTTACCCACTCTTCTTCTTTATCAATGTGAGGGTCAAATTACTTTCCTCATTTGTCCCTTAACACATTGCATTAATTTCCAACTTGGCATCTTGGCTTAAATACTTTCCCTAAGCTTGAAAACAAATAACAGTTACCATAGTTATCATTAATTTGGCATCTACTGTGTGCTAAGCATTGTTCTAAGGCATTTTATATTACATTTTACAAATAACTTTCTCAAAGTCCAGCAGCTTTTGACTAGTAAAGCAGAGATCTGAAGTGAGTTTTGTTTGATTTCACCATGCTCACAATGCTTCTCTAAGAACTTTACCTTGTTTTTCACCATCCCAAGTCCTATATAAACTCTAAAAGCCAGTCCTGCATGCCCCAGAAAACCTCCCCCCAAAAAAAGCCCAAGCTAAAGTTTACTCTCTCTGGTTTGACTGAAAATGAAATCCTAAAACATTTACTATTTCTTTGAACCATTCATTTGGTTCATAGCATACACTACTTTGACTACAAATTAAACCTCACTTTACATGGGTATGTCTAGTCTCCCTAACTAGATTTTTAAGCTCCTGGAAGACAAGAATCATACCTCATATAACTCAGAAATTAAGATAGTGTCTGACACTTTGGAACAAGTAAACACAATATCTAAATTAACTTTCCTATAATATTCTATCTCTAAAGACAGGTGCTTTCCATAGTATCCTTAGGTTACAAAGAACAGAAACAAATTTTTGCAAATTTAAACAAAAAGGGAATTTATCAGAAGGATACCTCAAGGATGGACAGGATGTCTGAGGAACTGAGTTTAGAGATAGAAAAGCAACTAGGTCAGGTCTAGATGTACAGGCAAAAAGGACTACACAACAATCTCTTCTGGATCCCATCAATAAATTGAATTTACTCCAACTAGTTTTGTGTTTCTTTTTAATTGTTTTGCATTGTTGTGTCTTGTTCTTCATCCTTGTGTCACTTTGATCAAGATTCAAAATTCCAGGAATGCACAAGTTGTTTTTTTTTTATCTTCTTTATCTATTTCATCCATCCCCCACCCCACACCTCTCCGTCAATCACCAGTTTGTTCTCAGTAAGAGTTTGTTTTGTTTTCTAGATTCCATATATGAGTGAAATCACATGGTATCTGTCCTTGACTTATTTCACTTAGTATAATACCTTCTAGTTTCAGCCATGTTGTCACAAATGGCAAGATCTCATTCTTTTTTATGCCTGAGTAATATATAGCTGTATATATATACCTACCACATCTTCTTTATCCATGCATCTATCAATAGATACTTGGGGTGCATCCATATCTTCGTTATTATAAATAAGGCCATAATAAACATAGGGATGCATATATCTTTTCAAATTTGTGTTTTTGTTTTCTTTGGGTAAACACTCAGTAGTGGAATTATTAGATTATATGGTATTTCTATTTTTAAATTTTTGAGAAAACTTCATATTGTTTTCCAGTGGTTTCAGTGATTTACATTCCCACCAACAGTGTACAAGGGTTACCTTTTCTCTACACCCCCACCAATATTTGTTATTTCTTGTCTTTTCAATACTAGCCATTCTGACAGATGTGAGGTGATACCTTATTGTGGTTTTGATTTGTATTTCCCTGATGATTAGCGATGTGGAGCATCTTTTCATGCATCTGTTGGCCATCAGGATGTCTTCAAAAAATTGTCTATTCAAGGCCTCTGCTCATTTTTTAATCATATAGTTTGTTTGTTGTTGTTGTTTTGGTGTTAAGTTCTATATGTTCTTTATATATTTTGTATATTAACTTCTTATTGGATATATCATTTGCAAATACCTTCTCCCACTCATTAATTTTCCTTTTTGTTTTCATGATTTCTTTTGCTGTGAAATAAGCTTTTGATTTTTTGTTCGTTTTGTTTTCCTTGGCTGAGGAGACACACCCATAAATGTTTTGCTAGGGCTGATGTCCAAGAGAGTACTGCCTATATTTTCTTTTAGGAGTTTTATATGGTTTCAGGTCTTACATTTAGTTATTTATCCAATTTGAGTGTATTTTTGTGTGTGGTGTAAGAAAGTAGTCCAGTTTTTATTCTTTTCCATGTAACTGTCCAGTTTTCCCAACACCATTTATTGAATAGACTGTCTTTTCCCCATTGTATATTCTTGCCTCCTCTGTTATAGATGAATTGGTTATATATGTGTTGGTATATTTCTGGGCTCTCCATTCTGTTCCATCGATCTACGTTTCTATTTTCATGCAAGTTCCATGCTGCTTTGACTACTCTAACTTTGTAGTATATCTTGAAATCTTGGATTATGATACTCCTATCATTGTTCTTCCTTCTCAAGATTGCTTTGACTATTCAGGGTCTTTTATGGTTCCATACAAATTTTAGGATTATTTGTTTTGGTTCTGTGAAAAATGCTTTTGGTATTTTGATAGGGATTGCATTGAATCTGTAGATTACTTTGGGTATTATGGACATTTTAACAATATTAATTTTTCCAATCCATAAGAATGGTATATCTTTCCACTTATTTGTGTCATGTTTAATTTCTTTCATCAGTGGTTTATAGTTTGCAGAGCACAAGACTTTTACCTCCTTGGTTAAGTTTATTCCTAAGTATTTAATTTTTTTGGTGCAACAGTTAATGGGACTGTTTTCTTAATTTCTCTTTCTGCTATTTTGTTAATAGTTTATAGAAATACAACAGATTTCTGTACATTATTTTGTATCCTGCAACTTTACCAAATTCATTTATTAGTTCTAACAGTTTTTTGATGGAATCTTTAAGGTTTTCTACATATAGGACCTTGTCATCTGCAAATAATGACAGTTTTACTTTTTCCTTACCAATTTGGATATATTTTATTTCTTTTTCTTGTCTGATTGCTGCAGCTAGGACTTCCAGTACCATGCTGGATAAAAGTAGTAAGAGAAAACATACTTCTCTTGTTCCTGATCTTGGAGGAAAAACTTTCAGGTTTTCACCATTGGGTATGATGTTGGTTATAGGTTTTTTCATATATAATCTTTGTCATGTTGAAGTATGTAAGCTCTAAACCCAGCTTGTTGAGAGTTTTTATCATAAATGGATATTGTACTTTGTCAAATATTTTTCTGCATCTATTGAGATGATCATACGGTTTTTCTCCTTCCGCTTGTTAATGTGATGCATGATGCTGACCAATTTGTGAATATTTAACCACCTTTGCATTCCTGGAATAAATCTCACTGCATCATGGTGAATAATCCATTTAATATATTGTTTTATTTGGTTTGCTAATATTTCGTTGAGGATTTTTAAATCTATGTTCATCAGAGATACAGGCCTGTAGTTTTCTTTTTTTCATAGTGCCTTTGTCTGGTTTTGATATCAGGGTAATGCTGGCCTCAGAATGAATTTGGAAAATTTCCTTCCTCTTCTTTGTTTTGGAGTAGTTTAAGAACAGGCATTAACTCTTCTTTAAATGTTTAGTGGAATTCACCTGTGAAGCCATCTAGTCCTGGACTTTTGTTTGTTGGGAGTTTTGTTGATTACTGATTCAATTTCATTAACAATAACCAGTCTTTTCAAATTTTCAATTTCTTCCTGATTCAGTTTTGGAAGATTGTATGTTTCTAGGAATTTACCCATTTGTTCTAGGCTGTCTTATTTGTTGGCATATAATTTTTCATAATATTGTCCTATAATTCTTTGTATTTCTGTGGTGTTGGGTGTGAATAGAC